GGATGAGCTTTTCAACTCAAGTAAGACCAATAAGCCAGATTAATTGTGCATTATCCTCCTACAGTAGTATTAAAATAAAATCAATGCATTGTATAAGAAAAAAATCAATGTAGTTCTTTCAATTTACACAATGATAAAATAAAACAGAAGAACTCCAAAATAAATCAAGCTTGGGGATTTTTCTTTGCCAGCATAGAGTTTTTTCGATCAAATTAATCTGATTGGAAAAGTAGTCTTAAACTTAGGAGCAGTGCAGACAGAAGGTCAAAGAATAAATCTGAGATGCTCTGGTATCTCAGAAGGAAGTATGGGAGCAATACTTACAAATTAGCAATGGCAAGGCAAAGACAGTCTAAGAACAACTCAATTCCCAGTGTGCAACCAGATCTGCGCAGGAGGACACTGCTCTACAGGGCTCAGGACAGGAGCGGGACCCACCCTTACGGATCTGATTACAGCAGTTAGGCGTAAGTTTGCTTTCTGTTTGTGAGGGCTTTAGATTTATTAGCTAGAGGTGATGAAGAGAAACTTTCTGAAGAATTGAGAGGGAAAATAAGAGAAGGGGTTAGGGTTTCCTCCTTCCCTCACCCACCAAAACTCATTTACCTGTGACTTGAATGCAGTGCTTGTAAACGAGATGTATGGGCCTGACTTCGTGTGTGATTTGGCTCCAAGACTGAAGGTAGTTAGAAATAATGGGAATGCATTTTACAGTCCCTCCTGCAGAGGGACAAGGATGATGGCAGAAGATGGATGTCTGTATGCTTTTCTTTTGCCTCACTGAAGCATTTATCTGTGCAGCAAGGCAGCAGCAGCTGCAATACCCAGTTTGGTGCCTTAATAAAACAACTACACAAGTCCAGTCTTCTGCATGGAAAGCACCAAGCAATGTCCACATGCTCAGTTCTTGAATTTTCAGGAAAATTTTCCATCAGCAGTGTTAATTTTGACACAAGCCAAATCCATAGACCAAAGCAGGATTTTGATTTAACTTCTTTTTCACCTCTGAAAAATTGTCTAGCCTTGAAAATATGATATTAAAAAAAATCTTACTTCCATTAACTGTTATCCAACCTTGATACTGAGATTGATTTCCCTCTGGAATGCTGCTCTACATATCTACTTATATGATTTATATGACTAGTGACTTGCCTGACAGCACCTATTATCTTTGTACACCAGACTGTGGTATTGTTTTAAGTATTATAAATATAATGCAAATATAATTATAGAAGAATCATATAATGAAACAAAACCAGTCATGTTTAAAAGCTGATAGAAGAAAAGGCTGTTTCAACTGGGCTTCTTTGGAGATAACAGTGTTACCATATCTCCAAAGCAGTCTCTACTGATATGTTTGTTTACCTTTTTTCACAATTTGCTTCGTGTTTTAGAGATTGTCCTTCTAACAGGCAATATATGCACATAGTTTTGTTCACAACTTTTACATCTATGCTTTTTATAGATTGAAAAATTTTTACTAAAACACTGTCTAAAGTAGACACACTTATTTTTAACTTTGATTACTTGCCAGTATGTGGATGCTCCAGGCAGTATTCAAGCAGAGTTTGCAAACCCTTGGAAAATGAAGTTGGCAGACAGTTGATAAATGCTTTGGCTTAAAATTTGGAATGGTCTCTCAACTCATGGTCGTGAGTTATTTCCTAGCTTGGGGAGAATAAATACGGCAAATTTACAGAGCTGCCTACTGGGGACTGACTTGCACCTGTCCCTGTGGGATGATGCCCACAAATAGTTTTAAACTGTTGCTCTTGAGAGACTTGGCACTTTTACAAAAGCATGTCCAAATGCTGTGGCCTGTGACAGTTTAAGAGGGCGCCTAATTAATGGGCAGGTCTTATTATGAATTTTGGTTAAAGGAAACGAGGGAGAAGAAAGATTGGCTGAGTGGTTACAGTAAATTACAGGAAGTAATTACATGAGGGAGGGCTATTTATTAGTCACCAGGAGAACTGAAGGCCATTAAATTTAAATACACTGGTAAAGGTCTTTGGCGTCACAGTCCTATCCCGGTCATCCACTGGGACCAGTTAACCCATTGACGTAAACTTCACTTTGCGAATGTGAAATTTTGAACAGGCAAAGACAAAACTCCCTTACAACAGGATGGCCACACACTCCAAAGAAGCCACAGCTGATGTAATATATAGGACTTTGACTTTTTAGGAGTACAGTACAGGCCTTAAATCATTAGTCATGGAGGCCCGTTTCTACAGTGACAAATTCCATCAGGCTGAAGTGCTCCAGCAACATTCTCTAAGCTGAGTGGTGTGTTTAATTTGGTGATCATATTTGTTAAGAGTGCATTGTGAGCCTACACTCTCACCAAGTCAGGAATTTTCTCATTTTGGTAATCTAATAATCTTAAAATAGCTCAAAGAGCATTTGGCCTGAAAGAAAGCCTGTGAGCTTGCTACAGCACTGCCTCTGAAAAATCTAGCTATATGTACTTTGGAGACTGTGGTGACAGAAAAATGCAAAGCTGAGATTTTCTCAGCAGTCAAGTGTTAGCCAGTTTCTGATTTCTCAGCTGCTTGCTCTTTTGTGTGCTGTTTTTAACTGGCAGAACCTATGAGAATAAGGAGCATGGGATCATTCATGTAGATTGCTTCTTTTGGAAATGTCAGAAGAATACTGCTTAGGTGCCCATGTGATGCAGAAACCTTAAGCCTCTTTTTTTCCTCTGCTTTCTATTGTAGTCCACCAACCAGTTCCCCAAAGGTTTCTCAGAGAGCCCTTCCATTGGTACCTTCCAGAATGTAGTCAGTCCAAGGTTCACTTTCATTAATTAATTACCTTCAATCCTTCATGCTTTGGAAACTACCTTGAGAACAGACATTTGAGGGGCTCATGTGGTTCTGAATTCTTACTGGTAGAGCTATTACAAGTAGTACCAGTGGTATTGTACTATTATTGGTACCGAATACTCCTGCCACTAATATAGTAAGTACTTGTACTTACTATACAAGTACTACCACCAAATCAGGTGAGTTCTTGAACAACAAAAAAACTTTAGGAAGCAGTTAATGTCTTAAGTACAATAAGATAAACCTGTTATCACCCTGATCTACTGGCTGCAAATAAGCTGGGTGCAATGAGGAACAACCAGCGTACAACCTGTATGTATCACTTTTCCAGACCTCATTACTACTTGTGAACTCTAGCTCTATTAGCACAGAAGGCTTCAGGTTTTTTATGTTCCTGAATATTTACTCATGAAAAATCACATTTATTCCACTGTCAATATAACGTTCAGAGTTGCTAAACTTATTTTGTAACACAACCACGGAGCTGCATTTGTAATCACTGCATTGTAAGAACATCTTTGAAACAATCTAGTCTTAAACAGAATAATAACCTTTAGAAATATGAGCCTCCTCCTAACAAATTGTCTCCAAAGCACATATCTTTTGAAAGTACAGAAATATTTTAGTTGGCAGCCACAAGAATGCATTCTGATTAAACTGTGTAATATCCAATCAAATAGCAGATCAAATAAAAAGGACACTTAATACATGTGTAAATCATTTGAATTACAAATAAGACACTCTAGAAGGGGCTTGGCTCTAGGTTTGATACAGAGGATTAGGCTCTTGTATTAATATATGCACTTGGTGTAGCTATTTTCAGAAGGATACTTCATCCATCATTGTCCTCGAGCTCTAAGGAGGACCAGTCAGTAAAATGATCACACTGCTCTGTCAACACTATTTGCTTAAGACTCAGTCGTGCAAAAAGTTTATTTTTCATATGCGCCCAATCCAACTACCGAAACTACCTAATGCTCCTGATAGTTGCTCTGCTCTTGCCTTCAACAAAACCAGAAAGTATTTCAAAAACACCGTCAGTGTTAAATTGAATTTATTTGGTCAAACTACACACATGGGCCTATCAGATCTTTCAGAATTGAATGGAAATACATGCTATTTAATGACTTCTATACTTTCCACAAGATTATTTTTAAGATTCAACTTTGCATTTGTGAATGCATTAGGGAACCTGTCTGTGTACCTCGTTTGCGAACACTTCCAAAGCAGATACAGTTTGGACACTTATGGCTTTGCAGAAGCTATGTATATTGTCAATGCTAAACAATAATCACCAAAAAGTCTTACCAAAATGTCTAAACTTGAAAGAAAAATAAAATAAAAACTATAGAAGTAATGCAAATGGAAGAATTTTATTTAGCTTAAATTTTCAAAATAGCAAAAAACAATGCTAGCTTTTCAAAAGTTATGATTTAATAGACCCTCAACATTTCACACCTGTTTGGGCCACCTCCAAAGGACAATTCTGTGCCTTGCTAGCAGACTACATGCTCGTTTTCTTTGCTTTGAACTTAATAGTACCACAAAAGGGGACAGTATTGCTGTCTTTAACTATCCTTCTGAAACATAAAATAATAATTTCTCTAGTGTGGCAAAATGTATCACTCCAGCCTGACCTGTACAGGAAAACTTACTACATTCTTTACTTATACATTAGGCATATAGAATACATTTTCATCAGAACCTTAAAAATGTGTCATGAACACATCCTTTCTATTCAACAATTTATGAAACTTTATGAAAAATATACCAACATGCTGACTTCTTAAACCATAAGAAATGCTTACTTCCTGTTTTCCAGAGTCTAGATAGCTATAGAGAAACCACTAATTGCACTACAAAAATCCTGCAGTCTTTAAAAAGTGAATACAACATTTACCCAATCATGTAGTTTCTCAGTATCTTTGCAAAGCCATTTTTTATTGCCTAAAATAGTTGGAGGCCAAAACAGTTTTGTGCTATACCCCTACCTGAAAGTAATTTCTTAGTTTAAAAGGACTGGTGATGTGTAATGATATAATGATGTTACACGGCTATCACTGATATTATTTGTGGCTGAACTATACAACATGGTCTAAAAGTTTTTTGCGTGTGTCCGTACTCATAATTCCTGTAATTATGAAACGTTCAGGTAATATTTGTTATGCTTACCCTCTTTCTTGGTGGGTTCCGGCATTGTTACAAGAATTCTTTATTCCCAGTGAGTTTCAGCCTTTCAGATGCAGTAAGTAGTAGCCCCAAGTCCAGCTGAGAGAGTATGCAGATCAGTATGACAAGCAGAGGCTAAGAAGAATTCCTCTGCTTTATATACCGCGACTGAAATATCAATCAAAATAGCACCTCCTCTCTTTTCAATGCAAACACTTTGAAAATTGACAGTTATGGGAACCCCTCTCACATCTGTTGTCTGCAGCCTCTGCTCCCTTGGCTTTTGGAAGGAATCTCTGCTGCATTGCATGGGGCTGATGAGAACATCTATAACTTTCTAAATTCAGCCACACTGCTAGCTCTCTGTGTCTCTCTCTGTAACATGCAGACGCGCATACTCACGCAGATAGAGGTTGAAAAAGTGACTGCCACACTACTAGAGCCCCTCCTGTCTGCAGAACTTATAGGAACTACCTGTATACATTAATGCCTTTTTCCACAACATAAAAGGGACAAGTAAGTATAGCCACTATGCCTGCAGTGAAACTTGATTTCCTTCCTTTAAGATAAAATGGTGTGCAAAGATGGAGTGAGAAGTAGAGTACTTTGCAGTGTTAATGCAGAAAAAAGAATTATTTTGTTCCTGTTTGGAGCAGTGAAGACCCTCCACGTCTCCCTTCTGTCTACATTTGCTAAACTTTCCTGAGTCCTTTCACTGTAGCCATCCTCATTTTGACATCAGTAGAACCTGTAGTGTTCCCTTCAGCACTGCTACCTCACTGACTGGAGTGGTCACTGCTGAGAGATGAGACATTCTCTTTTCCACTCATCCAGGAGATACAACACTCCTTGCCTTTGCCAAGCCAGGAAACCACACAGAAGGAATGGAAATACTATCTGTAGCACACACACCGAGCCACTAAACTGAGCCATTGGGCTACCCTTCTCTTAAACTCCTACTTAAACTATGAATATGCAGGCAACGGAAATTCAGGTCAAGTTAATCAAGGGGTACTAGGATTTGTTTTCTTATACCCTTTTAGGATTTTGAGACAAAACTGTAGTGATTAGTGCAATAGATGAGGCAGTCCTCAAGAGTTTTATGCTATTAAAACACATGTTCATATCATTATCACCTCTCAGTAAGAACTAGGCTGCTAGACAGACTGCTCAGTGTCTAAATACACCCAAAGGTTATGGAAAACATATTTAAAATCTTTGAATAGGAGTTAGAGATGGAATAGTGGTCGTGTGCCTGTTTGTCCTGTAGCCAATGCATGATTGTTTCCTCTACAAACTGTTGTTTTCTGGCTACTTAGCCATTTTATAGACATCTTACAAGGGATGGGCATTTCATTCCTTTTTTTTTTTTTTTTAAGAGACTGTACCATAAGCTGTCTTTTTCTGCCCTACACATTGTGGTGTTTTATTATTTGACTGATTTGTGTGCCCATAAAATAGAGAAAAAAGGCAAGACCCCCACCTACAAGAAACTAAACAGGGAATATTAAAGCTGGTTTCCTCCTTTGTTTCATATCACTGTCTAAGTAAACCTCCTTATGTCACTGAAATAATTTCTGTCCTTGGAAAGCAAACAGAGTGCCACCCCAAATAGATAAATGGGGAGTTTTGTCCCTCTGTGTATGAGTGTAGTAGCAGTGGGGAATCTGTGCATGAACAGACCTAATAACATTACATAGATCATTTTTTCTTGTTCCCTTTCCTTCTGTTCACAGCCAGGCAATGAATACTGTGATGGCTGGAACCAAAGGGGGATGAAGAGCAACTCCTGATTCTCTCCAGCCTTGTGTTTTCTTAGTGGCCCCTTGTAAGATGTAAAGACAGTTTTCTTTGCATTTCACCCATCATGTGCGAAGAGGTGCTGAGAACTACGTGTCTGGAGATTCCTGTTAATACATCTTACTTGTGCCATAACAGTAATTAGTACTTCGGTGCTATCGGATAGATGTCATTCAGAGCTTGCCTTCTTATACTTCTTTTCCACATTTGCAGAGTGCATGGTAGTCACAAAACTTGCCTTGCCACTGCGTACAGGAGAGGTGTTGGTTTTGGCTAACAATTGTCCAGATTGCTTTAAAGCTGGTTCTTGGATCACAGAGATGCCTAAACACACAGTTATCCATCCACCCAACCTGTATGGTCTCTGTTAATAAATGCATTTATCTAGTCATTCTATGAAGTTCAGATTTCTAAACATTCTTTTTCCTGCAATCCTGCTCTGCTTCCCTGGATATGACGATCACTCAGCTGATTTGATTGCAACTCATCTTGTGAAGGAACTGAGCCAAAAAAGGAAGCATTTGGCTCCTCTGTGCTGAACACACAACTCCCAAGCAAGTGAAAGGGCCATGAAACACCTTCTGACTCAGCCATCAGCCTACTTGCCGAATGACTGAGCCAGACCCTTCACAGAAATCATGATGTGGAAAGAGCTGAGCTCCACCTTGTTTCTAGCCCACCTCCTATACCTCAGTAGATAGAACCAGAGGCTGTGCCATCTCCAACCATCCTTTCATTAACTTACCCTACTACTAAAAGTACCTTGTTTGCACAGGCTGACTCATGTCTCTGGATGGAAACCTCCCTTGTCAGAACTTAATATTCTCCTTCCATAAATTAGCTTGGGTCCTTGTATTTTTCCCTTCCGTAAGGTGAATGTCTTCTGACCAAAATTTATTGTTGTTGCAGTATGGCTTTTGTGTGCCACTGAAAGCCCTCTTCTCAGCCACCTCAGGGGCCAAACATACTAAGCTCTCTGAGCCTTTCCCTTCCATGCCTGCCCCAATTAATCTTCTGTGGTCTCTTTCCAAAACATGAGTATCCTATTTTAAGTCTGTTCAGCTCCTTGAGCAGTTTCCAAACAGTAGCTAACCAAGGCGTCAGATAATTAAATCATTCTCTCTCATTTCTTTTTAATAAATTCCCTTGGTCAAACATCCAAAGCCCTTATTTGCTCTTGCAGCTGCTAGATCTGCATCCATAACTTCATATTTGCTGCTATTCCTAGGACTGAACTCTCTCACTTACTTCAGTCTCTATTCTAGTAAGTCAATGTCTGTTTGTTACCAGAGAAAAATCTGCGTCTTGTCACCAAGCCAAAGGATCAGGACATTCACAGAATACCTCAAAGACAACCCTTATACAAAACCATTTAAGCAAACAATGCTCTTAGTCATATGATTTCATTTTAGGTACTTCTGTGAGGAGCAGGGAGTTGGACTTGATGAACCTTATGGGTTCCTTCCGAGATATTCTATGGTTCTACTATTATATTTAAAAATTTTCCACTGAAAGGTTTTATTAATATTGAGAATGCTGGGCAGAAATAAGAATGATGACAGAAATGATCAGTTTAGCCAAGAATGGGAAAGGATTCCCAGTCCACACAGGACAAAGTCTGGAAATAACCCCCCAAAATGCTGGTGTGTTTATGTGGACTATGTGTCCATATTTTTTCATTAAAAAAATGAACAGCATTTTGGTTTTGTACTAATAAAGAATCCAAAGTTTTGAGATAGTACATAACAGAAAACCATTTTTCACCAGTTTTAATACTGGGAGCTTTGGAGCCTCTAGGAAACAGTTATTTACTGAGCCCAAGGATGAAGGATAAGAAGCAGCAGCAGATGAAGCCTTCCCTCCCATCAGGAAGAACCCATAGATGTTCTTCTCCAGGAGGACACTGAAATGAGGTTTGACAGTGTCCAAGCCCCATTCAAGTCCCACATCCCCTCCTACCAGGCACAAGGCCTGAAAATCCTGTTCTCCATGTCTGCAGCAGAATTACCTCATAGTGACGTAATTTTGTGCTCAGATTCTTCCTTTGCCACATTCTCTGTTTAAAATGGGACATTATAGATTTTGGTGAATTTATTTGCTTTGATATCACTGATAATCTGCAGAGCTTTTTTTCTTTTCTAACAACAAAAATAACAAATCAATTATTTCAATTTCTACCATGCTGTCAAGTGGAAGACTAAATATTTACAACTTCTAATTTTGCAAGAGAGGGAAGTACTTCAGCATGGAAGAATGCTGCATCTCAGGATATCTGTTACTTTTTAAGTCCTCATCTAATTTGCAAAGGCAGTCCTTTTTGTCTGTCTTCTTTGATTAACTTATTGGTGTTGATGAAAGACACTTGGATTTACCTGGCCAGCTCAGTCTAGTCCCAGCCTTGCATTGTAGATCTGCCAGGAAAAAAGACTTTCCTACTCTGTCACGCACTCTAGTTTCCTGCCATGTAAAGGAGTCATGACCTTGGTTGAGAAGTGATGAGAAATACTTTCTGTATAGATGTAGCATCCACAAATGGGTCTTACTCTATGTAGCAAGACGAGGGAAGATTAAAGCCTAGATTGCATTTTTTTTCCCAAGACAGTCGGCTTGGAGACACTTCAAGGCATGTACAAGATGTCGTTGACAGATAAACACCACTTGCCAGCTTTACCTCCTGCCTTACAATGACCCAAAGGGTGACATTACTGTGTAAGCAACACATGCCCCATGGTGTCCTATAGCAGTCAGAGTGTTTCCTTTCTGACAGTAAATTCCAGTGCACTGAGGCACTCGGCACCAAAGTCAAGAGCTAGTCCCTAGGTCAGGGCACCAGGCAAAATGGCAGGAGAAGGAAGGAGAGCAGCTTTTTTCTGTCGTCTCCTTGGCTGGATCAGTTAGAAAAAATTAAGATGAGGGTTGCTAAGAAAGGAAAAGTTATGGGAATTTCTTCACTGACTTCAAGAGCGCCAGAGCTTATTTCAACTCTGTTTTTAAGAGGAAACTTGGAAGAGGACCCTGCAGCCAGGATAGGAGAGAGACATTGCAGCCCAGACTTTTGTTCGCATTTCCACAGGTGAAATTGGGAGCAGCTCCTCACCTGAGCTGTGCCTAGGTAAGCAAGACCCATGCTGGGTTTACATGCTCCATAGTACTGAAATCTCTCTAGTTGTGAATGCCCTGATGCAGTATATCAAGCAGAAGTTTCTCTGACCCTGATTTGATCTGTTCATTAAGCATGTGAAATTTACCTCAGCAGCTTACAAAGAGCACGTGATTTGCCCCAGCAGATTATGGTGTGTCACGCCGGTGTGGTGTCTCCA